CGGTCCGGGTGACGACGGTTATATCGTAATTAGTTCTAAATCACTGAGTCAAGCTTCGTCAGGACCTCGCATGAGTCTAAATGATGACAGATATAACACAGCCATTCGCTAGTAAACAGCTAAATATGTCGGTCAACAGATACGCGAAAACTCATGACATTACAGCTAGTAAAACCTACCTTATACACGTCATGGTTTCCTATGATCTCATCAAAACAACCATACAAATCATTCAGAAATTTGACAATCTGAAATACAAGAGGAGTCAAAATAAGAACATTTGCGAGTTTCGGAGTAAATTTAAATACACCAAATCATTTAAATACAATAATTACTTGTATTGGAGAACTTTCTGCAGTCAATTCCGGAAATCCGACAATGTCTGAAAAGTATATTGTACACGATTCATAGTCTTCGGGAGGAACAGTTTTACCAAGTTTCAAAGCTTCTGCCACCGATCTGAAGCACAAAAGTAAATGTTGATGGATAGAATACATGACATACATGTTTAAAGTGTATTAAAAACATACCGGGAATTCATGTGTCTTGCCGTGTAAAATATTCGGTCGCTGTACACGTACACTGTGTGTGCGAGTAAATATTGTATTGTCAAATCTGTATTGGTATTATAGTTGTAGTTAAACAATTTTAATATGGTACATTATACATGAATCTCATTACACCACGTGTATTACTTTGATATAATATGCACCACAAGCAATAACAGACATATACTAACACTGGTAACATCCTATAAAGTAGCTGGTCTGTTTTCAGTTTTTCCTCCAAAACTTGACCAGTTCTTTGTTCAACGACTTCTTCAAGGTTGTTGGCATATTTCTCCATCATATTTAGTATATTATCCATTATACTGATTCTGAAAGCCAAACGTGATTGTAATGATTTCAAGTCTGATTCATAGCCACAAATATATATGAATAAGTGTTGAAATACGATTATACACAAACAATATTTAGGTTTACAAGTCCAAGAACATAAAACAAACCATTGGAAAACAACCATTATTAGAAGCTCGCTACAAAATATAGTCAAAAAGTCAGTGACAAAAAGCAATATGATGGAATCCAATGCAGGAAGCCGAATAGTGATATCGGGTTTTAACACTTGTTGCTACACATAGACTACACTATACACTACTAACATGTCATCGAGCAATTAACTTACTCTTTTCCGCTGCTCATTTCTCTTATATCTAGTCTAATACGGGAAAACGATGGCCTAGTATCTACATTTTCACACCAACATTTCTTCATCAAACTAATTACTTCACTTCCATATTCACAACTATCCGGATTAAATAGCATTAGCGTTGGTCGATAAGGAATGCTTTCACCATTACGAATACGACTCACAACATCTGAAATGTTATTGAATTACCATTACAATAATTAGCAATGAATATTCAGCGATCTATTTGACGTAATTTAGTTATTTTTGTAATTAATTAATTCATTATTTCTTTCACAGTGTCAGGCCTGCTTATGCTATTGAGGGGGCAGAACTCACACTGGACAGTGAGTTCTTTCACTGGTAGTCAGAATAGTCAGTTCTGGAGCACAGGCCAGAAAGGTAAAGAAAATATAGGTGCCGACTATTTAAGCAGGCCTTACACTGTGACACATTCATTCATTCATTCATTCATTCATTCATCATTATTAACCTCGAGGTGTAATATTGTCGAAACAATAAGGTCCAGTTCGTTCCAAAATCTCAAATATTATCACAGCAAAACTGTAGACGTCTCCCTTTTGTGTCCCACACGCTGGAGGAAAATTCATACGTAGGATTTCCGGAGCTGTCCAGAGTTTACCTAGTAACCAATAAGACACATAATTTAATACAAGATGAGTATAAAATATACACAATAAAATATATTCGATGTCATTATGTATACGTCACTGACTTTTTAGATAACGTTAGAACATACACAAATATGTTTAGAACGTAACAATAGGAACAGAAAGAAAAAAGTGAAAATAACATCAGCAACTGTAGACCTTTTATCAAGTCCAGTCCATAATCAACGAAAACTTAGAAAGAACTATTATAATAAATTACATAATAATTGCAGTGTTCGACATTAAACTAATGTGGATTACTGAATCTATGTACCAAATTTCAATAAAGTTGAAGATTATTTTAACGCAAATCTGATCAGGCATGTCCCGGGCGCACAGGTTTCATTAGATCGTCGAATTTATTTATAAGGATTCATTGAAATAAGTACTTGAGATATTGATGCTAAAGCTGAAAACTGACTAATAATCAAATAATTATTATACGCAGATTTTTTCGTAAAACTAATATGGTCTGTGCAATGTCACACAGCATTTAGGTACCAGGTTTCATAATAATTTGATTGACGCTGAAAAGTAAATTATCATAAAATTAGTAATTATATTTCAAGATTCATTGAAATAAGATGATTAGTACTTCAGATATTAATGGTAAAGGTGAAAACTTGCTAATTACTTGCAAATCAAATATTTAATATATGCAATGTTACAGAGCATTTATGTACCAAGTTTCATTCCAATGTAATTAGGACTTGCGATATCGGTGAAAAAGTCGGAAAATTATGATTTTTTTTATGCAAATTAGGTATTTCATATGAATATATTTTCAACCCAATACCAACCAAGCTTGTACCTTGACAGTGTAAAAGCAACAACTGATATAGTGTGTTATTTGCACACGGAAGTCACAAAACAAAACAATTCTGAAGTAAGGCACACTTCATAGTCAATCAGTATGAGAAGGATATATGGCTTCATATTATATATGCAATGAACCCATTCTGCTTCACAAGTGATATCCGCCATATATCATTAATCTGAAACCTACACGATCATTAAAAAACATTTTTGAATGCAATTAGAGTCAATTGCTTTTCACGTGTCTAAAAGTTTTAAAATAGGTGAGAAAAAAGTCAGTAAAAACGTACTTAAAAACTTGTCATTATCATCTGCATTCTCGCCCTCGATCTGTCCAGAGTAGAAGCTCTGCAAACCATAGTCAGTAATCTTGACAACCCAGCGATTATCTACCAAACAATTTGACGATTTTAGATTGCCATGAGAACTACCACCGTGTCTACTCTTGTGTAGGTACTCCATTCCCTGTCCGGAGGAGGATGTGAATATCTAGATCATAACAATTACATGCATATTACGAATATACAAACACGTTTACAATTGCTCCTGCTTTTTGATTCGAAGGCAGGCAGTATTTCATGAGAATACTAGTATATGTCGTTATATATGTGCTATATAATTGTCGCTTTTTCAAAATTGTACAGTCTATGCATAGCAATATAAAGTCTCGTGTACGAAGCCCAAAAGGGGTAACGGAAACGTTTAAATGTCTATGTGGGGTTCAACAAGGCTCTATTTTGTCACCTCGTCTGTTTGCTTTGTTTATAAACGACCTTGGTGACTATTTGGAGCACAGACTTTCAGGTGTATATGTTGGTTTACTTAAATTGTTTTGACTGTAAAATTTTACCAGCATTGATGTATGGCAGTGAAGTTTGGGGTTTTGACAAAGGGGTAA